GACGGTGAGTCTGGGGAGACAGGCGGCCCTGGCGACACCTGACACCGCGCGCCGCCCCGCCTCGCTCGCAGGCGCAGCAGGCGCAGCTGGAGGCGTGCCAGAAGTCGCTGGCCGCCTCGGAGGAGCGGTGTGCTCACCTGCGGCTGGGCGTGGACCGGCTGCAGCAGCAGCTGGCCGTCTCTGACGGCGGCCAGGCCGAGACGCGCGAGCAGGCCGCGCAGCTGGCGCGTCAGCTGGCGGAGGCCGGCGCGCAAGTGGCGCAGATGGAGGACAAGCTGCAGCAGGTGGGGCCAGCAGCGACGGACACTGTGACGTGGTCGGGCTCGGGTCCGGGCTGAGGTCCAGCGATCTGGCTTGGTCTAATTTTGTCTGATCTTATCCGTCCTGGTCTGATGTAATGCGATCTGGTCTGGTCTGCTCTGTGGGAAAGGTATATATGTATGTTGTTTAATATGTCGTAGGAAAACCAAGCAGAAAGCTCACTATTGGTTTTTAGCGGTCACACTGTCTGCACGCTTCTGTGCTAGAAATATGCAGTGGCGAGGACGGCCAGGATAACTAAGTCACGCCTATGCCTGGCACAGGTCTCGATTTAATTGTGAACCAGTTCAATCTCTCGCAGCATCATACTTCAGCATGCACAATGCTGCAGGTGATGCAAAGCGTTGGCTCCTTCGCGATTGCCTTCGTCTGGACACGAAGACCATTCGCCGTGGGAGCGGACTGGGTATTGGTGCCGCCGCGTTGACGGCCGTGTCCCTGCATCTCTCAGAGCCAGCGTCACCAGCAGAGCGTGCAGTCGGAGCTGAGCGCCGCCGAGCAGCGGCTGGTCGCCGCCCAGCAGACGGTCGCCGAGCTGAAGCGGACAGAACGATCAGCTGGCCGAGCGGGCCGGCGTCACGCAGCGCGAGCTCACGCAGGAGCGGGTGACCCGCTCGCAGCTGGAGCTCCAGATCAGGAGCAGCAAGCAGGTGGGGCGCGGCCGGACACGGCAGCCAGCACGCTCAGGTAGAGCGGCGGCAACAGCTGAGCGGGGTGAATTGCTGGGTGTCATATCCCGTTTGTTTGTGTGTTCAGCCGTGCGATGTGAGGCTTGACGTCTGCGTCTCGGCCCGGCGGCGGAGATCGGCGGCACCTGTTCTGATCGGCTCCGTGCGCCGGTGCGCCGTCCGCGCCCCAGAGCCGCCCGCCCGGCAGCCGCCGCCGCCGACCTCACCGTCTGTGTGTCTGGTGGCAGGGCGTGGAGCAGCGTCAGTCTCGGGAACACGAACTGGCAGAGAGCGTGTCCCGGCTGCAGGCCGACAAGACCGAGCAGGCCGACCGGCTAGCCCTGCTGCAGGTCAGCGCCAGGCGACGCTGCCTAACTGAGAGGTCGCCAAGTGGGCTCGTATACCAGCGAGGTTGTCGCAATTATGGTATCGTGCAAGGTCAAAAGCGGTTAAAACATTGCTCCTGTTCGCCGCGCTGATTTCGGAGCGGAGAACTGATTTCGGGACACATGCGATCCTTGTGTGACTCCCCGCCGCCGCCTCTTTCAGCGCAAGCTGGCGCAGGTTGAGGCGGAGAAGAAGGAGCTGGAGCGTGGCCAGGTCCAGCTGGAGAAAGACCGCGCCGCCCTGATGACCACCCTCGACAAGGTAACGCGCCTCCCACCGACGGTATGCCCCTGGTGACCCTGGCCTGTCCCTGTTTGATGTGAGGTGGTGTGTGCGGCTCAGCAGGCCCGGCCAGGTCCAGCTGGAGGAAGACTGCGCCGCCTGATGACCACCGTCGACAAGGTACCGCGCCTCCTCACGTAGGTGTACCCCCGGTGATCCTGGCCTGTCCCTGCAAACCGCCTCTTCCCGATGTACCCTCGGTGACCCTGATCTACCCCTGTGCCGCGCCTCCTCCCGACGGTGTACCCTCGGTGACCCTGACCTGTCCCTGTAAGGCGCCTCCTCCCAACGTTGTTCCCTCGTTGACCGTGACCTGTCCCTGTGCCGCGTGTCCTCCCGACGGTGTACCCTCGGTGACCCAGAGCTGTCCCTCTTTGATGTGAGGTGGCGCGTGCGGCTCGCAGGCCGGGTAACACGCGCACGCGCCGCTGCAGGTGGAGCGCGAGCGTCTGTCGGCGGACCAGACGGCCACCAAGACCACGCTGGAGCGGACCGTGCTGGACCGGTCGGTGTCGGCGCTGGAGCAGGACAACCAACAGCTGCTGCGCCACGTGCGCAGCCTGGAGCAGCAGCTGAGCGAGCTGCAGCAGATGCACGCCAAGTGTGCGGTCCGGACCGCCGCCGTCGCTGGCGACAAACACAGCCCGGTCAGTACGGGTCCGGGTGCGGACCAGGCAGGCGCGGCTGTGTCGGGGCGCGAGCGGCGCACACCTCCACTAGCTGATACGCCTGAGTCAGAACACGGCCACGTCAGGGCGCGGGAGGTGCACACCTGCAGTAGCTGATGCGGCCGGGTCAGAACAGAACACGGCCACGTCAGGGCGCGAGCGGCGCACACCTCCAGTAGCTGACACGCCTGGGTCAGAACAGAACACGGCCACGTCAGGGCGCGGGCGGCGCACACCTCCAGTAGCTGATGTGCCCGGGTCAGGGCAGGACCGCGCGGGTCACCGGCAAAGGACAGCCGTCTCAGCGCGAAGGTTGGCGCGGGATAACCGAAGCAAAAGTGTCTGCGTCAGTGCGTAGTCCAGCGAGTAACACCAAAACGGACAGTCCAACGACACCAAAACAGACAGCGGAGCGAGCGTGTTGTTTGGCATTGGGTATCAGTTGCGGCTGACCAGATTCGGGCTTCACCTTTTGTTTCCACCCGCATCGCATGCGCTCATTGTCCGCAGATACTTTGATTGCACACTCCAATATCGTCAGTTGAGCGTCATCGTTGGCCGCTGCACTACTCAGCGTGCTTTGAAACGGAGCCCGGCGTCCAAACTGGCCAACCAGCACTAGTTTTGAAAACGCTGCGTCCGTGATGTTCGCGGTGCCTGCTCTGAACTGAGCCCTGACTGGCTGAGGGTCTCAGCATCAACGGACGGCAGCGCTCGTGAGCTGGTGTGGACGCCCGCGCTGGGAGAGAGCCGCCGGTCCGGGGAGGGAGGGGAGGGAGAGGCCTTGCTGTTTGGCTTTGTGAGCCGCGGGGGGAGCGCTCCGTCAGCCCTTGACCTCCGGCCGGCAGGAGGACCTAGCCGAGCTGGACCGGCTGCGCGCCCGCTGTCTCCAGCTGGAGAAGATCATGCAGGCTCGCGAGAGAAGCTGCAAACAGCGCATCGTCGGCCTGGAAC